AGTTTAGCGTACGGACAGAGTTTAGTGTACAGAAAAGTTTAGTGTACGGACAGAGTTTAGTGTACGGACAGAGTTTAGCGTACAGAAAAGTTTAGTGTACGGACAGAGTTTAGTGTACGGACAGAGTTTAGTGTACGGACAGAGTTTTGTGTACGGACAGAGTTTAGCGTACAGAAAAGTTTAGTGTACGGACAGAGTTTAGTGTACGGACAGAGTTTAGTGTACAGACAGAGTTTAGTGTACGGAAAAGTTTAGTGGACGGACAGAGTTTAGTGTACGGACAGAGTTTAGTGTACAGAAAAGTTGAGTGTACGGACAGAGTTTAGTGTACGGACAGAGTTTAGTGTACAGAAAAGTTTAGTGTACGGACAGAGTTTAGTGTACGGACAGAGTTTAGTGTACGGACAGAGTTGAGTATACGGACAGAGTTTAGTGTACGGACAGAGTTTAGTGTACGGACAGAGTTTAGTGTACGGACAGAGTTTAGTGTACGGACAGAGTTTAGTGTACAGAAAAGTTTAGTGTACGGACAGAGTTTAGTGTACGGACAGAGTTTAGTGTACGGACAGAGTTTAGTGTACGGACAGAGTTTAGTGTACAGAAAAGTTTAGTGTACGGACAGAGTTTAGTGTACGGACAGAGTTGAGTGTACGGACAGAGTTGAGTGTACGGACAGAGTTTAGTGTACGGACAGAGTTTAGTGTACAGAAAAGTTTAGTGTACGGACAGAGTTTAGTGTAGGGACAGAGTTGAGTGTACGGACAGAGTTAAGTGTACAGAAAAGTTGAGTGTACGGACAGAGTTTAGTGTACGGACAGAGTTTAGTGTACAGAAAAGTTTAGTGTACGGACAGAGTTTAGTGTACGGACAGAGTTTAGTGTACGGACAGAGTTGAGTATACGGACAGAGTTTAGTGTACGGACAGAGTTTAGTGTACGGACAGAGTTTAGTGTACGGACAGAGTTTAGTGTACGGACAGAGTTTAGTGTACGGACAGAGTTTAGTGTACGGACAGAGTTGAGTGTACGGACAGAGTTAAGTGTACAGAAAAGTTGAGTGTACGGACAGAGTTTAGTGTACGGACAGAGTTTAGTGTACAGAAAAGTTTAGTGTACGGACAGAGTTTAGTGTACGGACAGAGTTTAGTGTACGGACAGAGTTGAGTGTACGGACAGAGTTGAGTGTACGGACAGAGTTTAGTGTACGGACAGAGTTTAGTGTACGGACAGAGTTTAGTTTACGGACAGAGTTGAGTGTACGGACAGAGTTTAGTGTACGGACAGAGTTTAGTGTACGGACAGAGTTTAGTGTACAGAAAAGTTTAGTGTACGGACAGAATTTAGTGTACGGACAGAGTTTAGTGTACGGACAGAGTTTAGTGTACGGACAGAGTTTAGTGTACAGAAAAGTTTAGTGTACGGACAGAGTTTAGTGTACGGACAGAGTTTAGTGTACGGACAGAGTTGAGTGTACGGACAGAGTTGAGTGTACGGACAGAGTTTAGTGTACAGAAAAGTTTAGTGTACGGACAGAGTTTAGTGTACGGACAGAGTTTAGTGTACGGACAGAGTTTAGTGTACGGACAGAGTTAAGTGTACGGACAGAGTTAAGTGTACGGACAGAGTTTAGTGTACGGACAGAGTTTAGTGTACGGACAGAGTTTAGTGTACCGACAGAGTTTAGTGTACGGACAGAGTATAGTGTACGGAAAGAGTTTAGTGTACGGAAAGAGTTTAGTGTACGGACAGAGTTTAGTGTACGGACAGAGTTAAGTGTACGGACAGAGTTGAGTGTACGGACAGAGTTTAGCGTACAGAAAAGTTTAGTGTACGGACAAAGTTTAGTGTACGGACAGAGTTTAGTGTACGGACAGGGTTTAGCGTACAAAAAAGTTTAGTGTACGGACAGAGTTTAGTGTACGGACAGAGTTTAGTGTACAGAAAAGTTTAGTGTACGGACAGAGTTTAGTGTACGGACATAGTTAAGTGTACGGACAGAGTTTAGTGTACGGACAGAGTTTAGTGTACGGACAGAGTTTAGTGTACGGACAGAGTTTAGTGTACAGAAAAGTTTAGTGTACGGACAGAGTTTAGTGTACGGAAAAGTTTAGTGTACGGACAGAGTTTAGTGTACGGACAGAGTTGAGTTTACGGACAGAGTTTAGTGTACAGACAGAGTTTAGTGTACGGACAGAGTTTAGTGTACGGACAGAGTTTAGTGTACAGAAAAGTTTAGTGAACGGACAGAGTTTAGTGTACGGACAGAGTTAAGTGTACGGACAGAGTTTAGTGTACGGACAGAGTTTAGTGTACGGACAGAGTTTAGTGTACGGACAGAGTTTAGTGTACGGACATAGTTTAGTGTACAGAAAAGTTAAGTGTACGGACAGAGTTTAGTGTACGGACAGAGTTTAGTGTACGGACAGAGTTTAGCGTACAGAAAAGTTTAGTGTACGGACAGAGTTTAGCGTACAGAAAAGTTTAGTGTACGGACAGAGTTTAGCGTACAGAAAAGTTTAGTGTACGGACAGAGTTTAGTGTACGGACAGAGTTTAGTGTACAGACAGAGTTTAGTGTACGGAAAAGTTTAGTGGACGGACAGAGTTTAGTGTACGGACAGAGTTTAGTGTACAGAAAAGTTTAGTGTACGGACAGAGTTTAGTGTACAGAAAAGTTTAGTGTACGGACAGAGTTAAGTGTACAGAAAAGTTTAGTGTACGGACAGAGTTTAGTGTACGGACAGAGTTTAGTGTACGGACAGAGTTTAGTGTACGGACAGAGTTTAGTGTACAGAAAAGTTTAGTGTACGGACAGAGTTTAGTGTACGGACAGAGTTTAGTGTACGGACAGAGTTGAGTGTACGGACAGAGTTGAGTGTACGGACAGAGTTTAGTGTACAGAAAAGTTTAGTGTACGGACAGAGTTTAGTGTACGGACAGAGTTGAGTGTACGGACAGAGTTAAGTGTACAGAAAAGTTGAGTGTACGGACAGAGTTTAGTGTACGGACAGAGTTTAGTGTACAGAAAAGTTTAGTGTACGGACAGAGTTTAGTGTACGGACAGAGTTTAGTGTACGGACAGAGTTGAGTGTACGGACAGAGTTTAGTGTACGGACAGAGTTTAGTGTACGGACAGAGTTTAGTGTACGGACAGAGTTTAGTGTACGGACAGAGTTTAGTGTACGGACAGAGTTTAGTGTACGGACAGAGTTGAGTGTACAGACAGAGTTTAGTGTACGGACAGAGTTTAGTGTACGGACAGAGTTTAGTGTACGGACAGAGTTAAGTGTACGGACAGAGTTGAGTGTACAGACAGAGTTGAGTGTACAGACAGAGTTTAGTGTACGGACAGAGTTTAGTGTACGGACAGAGTTAAGTGTACGGACAGAGTTGAGTGTACGGACAGAGTTTAGTGTACGGACAGAGTTAAGTGTACGGACAGAGTTGAGTGTACGGACAGAGTTTAGTGTACGGACAGAGTTTAGTGTACGGACAGAGTTGAGTGTACGGACAGAGTTTAGTGTACAGAAAAGTTTTGTGTACGGACAGAGTTTAGTGTACGGACAGAGTTTAGTGTACGGACAGAGTTTAGTGTACGGACAGAGTTTAGTGTACGGACAGAGTTTAGTGTACAGAAAAGTTTAGTGTACGGACAGAGTTGAGTGTACGGACAGAGTTGAGTGTACGGACAGAGTTTAGTGTACGGACAGAGTTGAGTGTACGGACAGAGTTGAGTGTACGGACAGAGTTTAGTGTACGGACAGAGTTGAGTGTACGGACAGAGTTTAGTGTACGGACAGAGTTTAGTGTACGGACATAGTTTAGTGTATGGTCAGAGTTGAGTGTACGGACAGAATTGAGTGTACGGACAGAGTTTAGTGTACGGACAGAGTTTAGTGTACAGAAAAATTTAGTGTACGGACAGAGTTGAGTGTACGGACAGAGTTGAGTGTACGGACAGAGTTTAGTGTACGGACAGAGTTGAGTGTACGGACAGAGTTTAGTGTACGGACAGAGTTTAGTGTACGGACAGAGTTTAGTGTACGGACAGAGTTTAGTGTACGGACAGAGTTTAGTGTACAGAAAAGTTTAGTGTACGGACAGAGTTTAGTGTACGGACAGAGTTTAGTGTACAGAAAAGTTTAGTGTACGGACAGAGTTTAGTGTACGGACAGAGTTTAGTGTACGGACAGAGTTTAGTGTACGGACAGAGTTTAGTGTACAGAAAAGTTTAGTGTACGGACAGAGTTTAGTGTACGGACAGAGTTTAGTGTACAGAAAAGTTTAGTGTACGGACAGAGTTTAGTGTACGGACAGAGTTTAGTGTACGGACAGAGTTTAGTTTACGGACAGAGTTTAGTGTACGGACAGAGTTTAGTGTACGGACAGAGTTTAGTGTACGGACAGAGTTTAGTGTACGGACAGAGTTTAGTGTACGGACAGAGTTAAGTGTACGGACAGAGTTTAGTGTACGGACAGAGTTTAGTGTACGGACAGAGTTTAGTGTACAGACAGAGTTTAGTGTACGGACAGAGTTTAGTGTACGGACAGAGTTGAGTGTACAGACAGAGTTTAGTGTACAGACAGAGTTTAGTGTACGGACAGAGTTTAGTGTACGGACAGAGTTAAGTGTACGGACAGAGTTGAGTGTACGGACAGAGTTTAGTGTACGGACAGAGTTAAGTGTACGGACAGAGTTTAGTTTACGGACAGAGTTTAGTGTACGGACATAGTTTAGTGTACGGACAGAGTTTAGTGTACGGACAGAGTTTAGTGTACGGAAAAGAAACACTAATGTCTAGTAAACTGGGAGCTAAATGAAAAATTCGTGCTTTATTTTTTCCTGCCTCAGTTCAGCCTAATCTAAATCAATACATGATTTCAAGATTGATAAACTTTTCACCTTTTAACCCTAACCCTAACCCAGCCTAATCTAAATCAATATATGATTTCAAGATTGATAAACTTTTCACCTTTTAAATATCGAACATTTAGGACTGACCTTTTGAATTAAAAGTGCCTTTGAACCTGGTCGGTTTGGTGGCTGTGCATGTTGTTTTAAAATAGACTTGACATCTGAGTTCAGCTCTGCTCGACTCCCGTCCCATTCTGGGCTAAAAAGACGAGTAAAAAAATAGAACAGTGGGAACAATGTTTAGCACCTTCATTCGGTCTAGAGTACGACACCATTAGTCTACTAGTACGACACCATTAGTCTACCAGAGTGTGACACCATTAGTCTACCAGAGTGTGACACCATTAGTCTACCAGAGTGTGACACCATTAGTCTACCAGAGTGTGACACCATTAGTCTATCAGAGTGTGACACCATTAGTCTACCAGAGTGTGACACCATTAGTCTATCAGAGTGTGACACCATTAGTCTACCAGAGTGTGACACCATTAGTCTATCAGAGTGTGACACCATTAGTCTACCAGAGTGTGACACCATTAGTCTACCAGAGTGTGACACCATTAGTCTACCAGAGTGTGACACCATTAGTCTACTAGAGTGTGACACCATTAGTCTACCAGAGTGTGACACCATTAGTCTACCAGAGTGTGACACCATTAGTCTATCAGAGTGTGACACCATTAGTCTACCAGAGTGTGACACCATTAGTCTACCAGAGTGTGAAGCCATTAGTCTATCAGAGTGTGACACCATTAGTCTACCAGAGTGTGACACCATTAGTCTACTAGAGTGTGACACCATTAGTCTACCAGAGTGTGACACCATTAGTCTACCAGAGTGTGACACCATTAGTCTATCAGAGTGTGACACCATTAGTCTACCAGAGTGTGACACCATTAGTCTACCAGAGTGTGACACCATTAGTCTACCAGAGTGTTACAACATTAGTCGATCAGAGTGTGACACCATTAGTCTACCAGAGTGTGACACCATTAGTCTACCAGAGTGTGACACCATTAGTCTACCAGAGTGTGACACCATTAGTCTACCAGAGTGTGACACCATTAGTCTACCAGAGTGTGACACCATTAGTCTATCAGAGTGTGACACCATTAGTCTACCAGAGTGTGACACCATTAGTCTACCAGAGTGTGACACCATTAGTCTACCAGAGTGTGACACCATTAGTCTACCAGAGTGTGACACCATTAGTCTACTAGAGTGTGACACCATTAGTCTACCAGAGTGTGACACCATTAGTCTACCAGAGTGTTACACCATTAGTCTATCAGAGTGTGACACCATTAGTCTACCAGAGTATGACACCATTAGTCTATCAGAGTGTGACACCATTAGTCTAATAGAGTGTGACACCATTAGTCTACCAGAGTGTGACACCATTAGTCTACCAGAGTGTGACACCATTAGTCTAATAGAGTGTGACACCATTAGTCTACCAGAGTGTGACACCATTAGTCTATCAGAGTGTGACACCATTAGTCTATCAGAGTGTGACACCATTAGTCTACTAGTACGACACCATTAGTCTACCAGAGTGTGACACCATTAGTCTACCAGAGTGTGACACCATTAGTCTACCAGAGTGTGACACCATTAGTCTACCAGAGTGTGACACCATTAGTCTACCAGAGTACGACACCATTAGTCTATCAGAGTGTGACACCATTAGTCTACTAGTACGACACCATTAGTCTACCAGAGTGTGACACCATTAGTCTACCAGAGTGTGACACCATTAGTCTATCAGAGTGTGACACCATTAGTCTACTAGTACGAAACCATTAGTCTATCAGAGTGTGACACCATTAGTCTACTAGAGTGTGACACCATTAGTCTACCAGAGTGTGACACCATTAGTCTACCAGAGTGTGACACCATTAGTCTACCAGAGTGTGACACCATTAGTCTACTAGAGTGTGACACCATTAGTCTACCAGAGTGTGACACCATTAGTCTACTAGTACGACACCATTAGTCTACCAGAGTGTGACACCATTAGTCTACCAGAGTGTGACACCATTAGTCTATCAGAGTGTGACACCATTAATCTACCAGAGTGTGACACCACTAGTCTATCAGAGTGTGACACCATTAGTCTATCAGAGTGTGACACCATTAGTCTACCAGAGTGTGACACCATTAGTCTATCAGAGTGTGACACCATTAGTCTATCAGAGTGTGACACCATTAGTCTACTAGTACGACACCATTAGTCTACCAGAGTGTGACACCATTATTCTACCAGAGTGTGACACCATTATTCTACCAGAGTGTGACACCATTAATCTACCAGAGTGTGACACCATTAGTCTACCAGAGTGTGACACCATTAGTCTACCAGAGTGTGACACCATTAGTCTACCAGAGTGTGACACCATTAGTCTACCAGAGTGTGACACCATTAGTCTACCAGAGTGTGACACCATTAGTCTACCAGAGTGTGACACCATTAATCTACTAGAGTGTGACACCATTAGTCTACTAGAGTGTGACACCATTAGTCTACCAGAGTGTGACACCATTAGTCTACTAGAGTGTGACACCATTAGTCTACCAGAGTGTGACACCATTAGTCTACCAGAGTGTGACACCATTAGTCTACCAGAGTGTGACACCATTAGTCTATCAGAGTGTGACACCATTAGTCTACCAGAGTGTGACACCATTAGTCTACCAGAGTGTGACACCATTAGTCTACCAGAGTGTGACACCATTAGTCTATCAGAGTGTGACACCATTAGTCTATCAGAGTGTGACACCATTAGTCTACCAGAGTGTGACACCATTAGTCTACTAGAGTGTGACACCATTAGTCTATCAGAGTGTGACACCATTAGTCTACAAGAGTGTGACACCATTAGTCTACTAGAGTGTGACACCATTAGTCTACCAGAGTGTGACACCATTAGTCTACTAGAGTGTGACACCATTAGTCTACCAGAGTGTGACACCATTAGTCTAATAGAGTGTGACACCATTAGTCTACTAGTACGAAACCATTAGTCTATCAGAGTGTGACACCATTAGTCTACTAGAGTGTGACACCATTAGTCTACCAGAGTGTGACACCATTAGTCTACCAGAGTGTGACACCATTAGTCTATCAGAGTGTGACACCATTAGTCTATCAGAGTGTGACACCATTAGTCTACCAGAGTGTGACACCATTAGTCTACCAGAGTGTGACACCATTAGTCTACCAGAGTGTGACACCATTAGTCTATCAGAGTGTGACACCATTAGTCTACCAGAGTGTGACACCACTAGTCTACCAGAGTGTGACACCATTAGTCTACTAGTACGACACCATTAGTCTACCAGAGTTTGACACCATTAGTCTATCAGAGTGTGACACCATTAGTCTACCAGAGTGTGACACCATTAGTCTACTAGTACGACACCATTAGTCTACCAGAGTGTGACACCATTAGTCTACCAGAGTGTGACACCATTAGTCTACCAGAGTGTGACACCATTAGTCTACCAGAGTGTGACACCATTAGTCTATCAGAGTGTGACACCATTAGTCTACCAGAGTGTGACACCATTAGTCTACCAGAGTGTGACACCATTAGTCTACTAGTACGACACCATTAGTCTATCAGAGTGTGACACCATTAGTCTACTAGAGTGTGACACCATTAGTCTACCAGAGTGTGACACCATTAGTCTATCAGAGTGTGACACCATTAGTCTACTAGTACGACACCATTAGTCTACCAGAGTGTGACACCATTAGTCTACCAGTGTGTGACACCATTAGTCTACTAGTACGACACCATTAGTCTACCAGAGTGTGACACCATTAGTCTTTCAGAGTGTGACACCATTAGTCTACCAGAGTGTTACACCATTAGTCTATCAGAGTGTGACACCATTAGTCTACCAGAGTGTGACACCACTAGTCTATCAGAGTGTGACACCATTAGTCTACTAGTACGACACCATTAGTCTACTAGAGTGTGACACCATTAGTCTACCAGAGTGTGACACCATTAGTCTACCAGAGTGTGACACCATTAGTCTACTAGTACGACACCATTAGTCTACCAGAGTGTGACACCATTAGTCTACCAGAGTGTGACACCATTAGTCTACTAGAGTGTGACACCATTAGTCTACTAGTACGACACCATTAGTCTATCAGAGTGTGACACCATTAGTCTATCAGAGTGTGACACCATTAGTCTACCAGAGTGTGACACCATTAGTCTACTAGAGTGTGACACCATTAGTCTACCAGAGTGTGACACCATTAGTCTATCAGAGTGTGACACCATTAGTCTACCAGAGTGTGACACCACTAGTCTATCAGAGTGTGACACCATTAGTCTACTAGTACGACACCATTAGTCTACTAGAGTGTGACACCATTAGTCTACCAGAGTGTGACACCATTAGTCTACCAGAGTGTGACACCATTAGTCTACCAGAGTGTGACACCATTAGTCTATCAGAGTGTGACACCACTAGTCTATCAGAGTGTGACACCATTAGTCTACTAGTACGACACCATTAGTCTACCAGAGTGTGACACCATTAGTCTACCAGAGTGTGACACCATTAGTCTACTAGTACGACACCATTAGTCTACCAGAGTGTGACACCATTAGTCTAATAGAGTGTGACACCATTAGTCTACCAGAGTGTGACACCATTAGTCTACCAGAGTGTGACACCATTAGTCTATCAGAGTGTGACACCATTAGTCTATCAGAGTGTGACACCATTAGTCTACCAGAGTGTGACACCATTAGTCTACTAGAGTGTGACACCATTAGTCTACCAGAGTGTGACACCATTAGTCTACTAGAGTGTGACACCATTAGTCTACCAGTTTGTGACACCATTAGTCTACTAGAGTGTGACACCATTAGTCTACCAGAGTGTGACACCATTAGTCTATCAGAGTGTGACACCATTAGTCTACCAGAGTGTGACACCATTAGTCTACCAGAGTGTGACACCATTAGTCTACCAGAGTGTGACACCATTAGTCTATCAGAGTGTGACACCATTAGTCTACCAGAGTGTGACACCATTAGTCTACCAGAGTGTGACACCATTAGTCTATCAGAGTGTGACACCATTAGTCTACCAGAGTGTGACACCATTAGTCTACTAGAGTGTGACACCATTAGTCTACCAGAGTGTGACACCATTAGTCTACTAGAGTGT